TGATAAAGAATATCTCTTTGGTTTTGAGACTTTAGTCTTTGCAACTTCAGGGATCTTATCTATGCACAATCAGCTTGTAACACTCCAAAGAGAAAGGAAAGCTTGAAATCGCATCATATGACCCCCTTTAAACTATTTAAAAAGATAGTACAGGAAAATAATCAGTGAAGCTGCTCTTATCACATAATTGTAATTTTTTAAATTCATTTTGACAAGACCCATCTGTTTAACAATAATGTGTTCAGCCAAACTAAAGTAATGTTTAAACAAAACCTTTTGTCTATTGATGTGTTGATAAGAATGGACAAGAGTGAATGATGCATTTTATACATGCCCATAAAAATGTATTAAATATGCATGTTTTGTGTATAATGAAAAAAAAAAGTTTTGAACAGCCAGTGGTTAATAATGTGTACTTGAGTGTGTAGTGCATGATATTGTTTGTCATGCTAACTTAGAAAAAATTATTGCAGTTTATTCTAGACATAAATTAACAAAAACAGGATGTTGTCTGCAAAAAGTCACCAGTGTAAGATGTTGTTTCCAGAATATTTGAATCTGTTGAATCTAATGTGGTGAACCTAGAAATGCCCAATAAGTGTGAGAGAAATTCATATATATTTGATATCTTACACCACATATATCATAATTTAATATTTCACATTCACCAAAAAGGCAAATGGGCATAGAAGAAGTTTTAATGTGAACTCTCCTGACCTCTTTAGGAAGCTGGACTGTGATATTCGGATTCAGCTGCCACAGGTGTCTAAAGAGCATTGTAAAATTGAGTTGAATGAGAACAAGGAGGTAATTATATTGTTGTTAAACTATAAGTTAAATTTTTTTTTCCTGAATAACGGTTTCTTGTGCAAATGAACGCATGACATGCTATTAATTTATTCTGACTTGTCTCTCGTTTAAGCTCATTTTGACCAATTTGAGCTCTGTGAACCCCACACGTATTAATGGACAAGTTTTTAATCAGTCGAAGCGTTTAAAGCAAGGTGATCTCATCACAATCATTGATCGTTCTTTCAGGTGAGTCAGATGTTTATTACTATTTTAATTCTGAAAAAAAAATCTTTCGGGGGGAATCCTTGTTTGCTAGAATAATTTGCTGTTTAATTTGTCAACATGTCAGGTTTGAGTACCCACCTCCTAAGACACCGAAGAAGAGGCTGTCCACACCTGGAAAAGACAAAGCAGTTCAAGTGTGTATTTGATGCGAGACAGTTGATTTTTTTTTTAATTAATTAATTTTTTTTTGATAAATTTTGGTTATTTTTTCCTGTAGGCTTTGCAAGAGCAGCAGGAAAAAGGCACACCTGTTCCTGTGGAAAAGAGAAAGTCAGAGCATTCGTTTGGTTAGTGATTGAGTGATTTTTATTCTCTATAATGTTACTATTAGTAGTAGTGTTATAATAATAATATTGTTAATTATTGTTGTTGTACTTAGGGATGGGTCACGATTTTCGATTCGTTGATTTAATTATAGAATATCTAATAGGTTGTGCGATTGTCTAAAAAGAATTACCCATGTTTTCGTGCTGATGCAGTGGTGACATTCATTTATAAAAAAAAAAAAAAACAATCTCTATATCCATTAAATCCGCTCTAAATCCGTTAACATGGGCGCGGAAAAGAATACGCTCCGCATACATATTGTGCAAATGGAGTTGGTGTGTTCTCTGCAGCTGGACTAATTGTGAACGGATTGTGCTCCTGTCTTCATCCCGAACGAATTAATGAAACAAAAATTTGTTATAAAGACAGACGTTAAAATTAATGTTCACATAAGTGCCATCATTCAGGCTGTTCACAATATGTTTTAACCCATTTAGACCTAGCCTAAAGTCATTATGGCTTGAGGTGATATTCATGGATGAATTAATCAAACTGTTTTTATTTTTGATTGGTATGAATGTTTATGCTCATTTTTGAAGTGGAAATGCCCTAGCCTTATGAGCAGTTGATTTATGCTACTTATTTCAGCACTTTACAATCATTATATGGCTTGAGTTAAGAGCCTATTCCCTAATGAAAACTGTTTGTTATCATACAGATTGAAAGCATGAATGGTCTCTCTCCCTCTCTCCAGGGGCGGATCTAGAAAATAATTTTTAGGGTGGCATGGGGTCTATTGACACTTTTCCACTGCGTGGTACGGCTCAGCACGGTTTGCGTTTCCACTGCAGTTCAGTACCGCTTTAGAGTGGGCTGGATTATTCACATGTCATTATAGTTGCGCCGCCTCTACTACCACGACTCCTAAAAAAACTTTTTCATTCCGCGTCGCCCCATCAAGCTCTCGCTGGATCCGCTCCTCTGCTATCAACAGAGGAACGTCTGTTCTTCCACAACAGACAACAAAACTTCTTGGTTGTTAAAAAAAAGGTGCGCTCGTTCAAAACAGTTGCGTTCGATCCTTCGCTGGCTGTGCTGATTTAAATCTAGCGGTTCTTTTGTGTTTGTGTCGCAAGTTCAGTTCTCTCCGGCCAATCCGTGATCAGCAGAGTTTACACGTCACGTTTTGGTAACGGTACGGTTCACTTGGAACCCCAAACGAGGTGGTACTAAAAAAAGTACCAGGTACTGTACCCAGTGGGAAAAACCCCCAAAAGGGAGCCGCACCGTGCCGTACCATGCAGTGGAAAAGCGCCATATGAGGGGTGGCAACACCAAAGCAAGCCCCCATGCATAGTTTTTGGGGATTTATGGTCTGACATACACAGTTGTTCACAAATATTGTATTACCATTAAGTAATCATCTATGCTGTTTAAAATGAAAAATAAAATTTCTATGTCCATCGTGGCACCATGTCAATACACAATATAAAAAAATTTCAACAGGTTATAAATGTTTCTGAGCTTGTATTACTAAATAAGACATGCAGTTCTATTAAAATTACATAGGCTACTTAGATGGTATAATCACATTTAGTGCAAGTTTAAGAGCAACAAAAACTTTTGAATTTCCTAACATTAGAAAGAAATACAATAATACTAAAGCACTGAGACTATTTGATTTTGTGTTATTAACCGAGGTGGGAATGTCTGTAATCACCCAGAACAAACTCTTATCAACCATATACTCTAGCAACACCCCAGCAACTGCATAGCAAGAGCCTAGCAACCACCCAGAATATGCTAGCAACCAACTAGCAACACTTTTGTAAACATCTAGAACATCTAACTGACCAAACCATTTACGCTTTATTAAACGAGACTTTAAGACAAGCCAGCATACATTTGTCTTTCAAACTTTTCAATCTAGGTATTACAGTTTTTCTTACAGGTTTTTTTCAAAACTTTACACGCAAATCCAAGAATTGCACACACAAAATGCTAAATGCCTCACATCTCTTGCAAAATGAAGCACTGCATTCGAAATATCACAAACGCATCTCAAAAGCAAACATTTGCAAACACCTTTGCCATAATATTAATTCCTGTTAGATTTTTGTGTTACAAAGAGAATTGTGTGTTGTGTTTTATGAAATTGAAAACTGAGTCAAAGGCAGAGAATTAGAGTATGGTTTTGCAGATTTGGTGTGTGGTTCTGCCTTTTGAGTGTCAGCTTTCAAAAATTGTGTGACAAGTAAAGATTTTGTGTGTAAGCATTTGAAAAAAAACTGTATATGCTTACAATTCAAATACACAAGATGACTTTCCTGCCCAGTGAACACTGAGATTAATAACACTGTAACAAAAAAACTACTAGGATTCAGGAACTATTTTTGCAGCTCAATGTCTATTACAGTATACATTAAATTACAGATACATATGTATAATTCAGCAATGAACTTTTTGGGGGGGGAAATCATTTTTATTTTATATCAGTGATTGTCATGTTTACTGTATTTACAGATACTTGTTTAAAAGATGGGTCAAATTTGCCACCATCTGTGGAACAAACTGTTGAGACTGAACCAGAAGATGGCAAACTTAAAAAGGACAGCATGTCACCGTTTTGTGAGCTTTACCAAATGGTCAAACAGGACCTTGCTGCAAAATCGCCATGGAAGTCTGAGCTACCAAAAACACCTCTTGCAAGAACTCAGGTTGGTCACGAGAAAGTTGCCGCTGCAGATGTTAAAAGTAGTCAGAAACAGGTCACAACCCCATCTACCAAGAAGCGAAGATCCTCGAAATCCAATTCTGAAGATACAACTGGACCAGCTATACCTCAGAGCTCATTTAATGCAAATGTGGAAGAAAACCCCACTGACGATGTGCCATCTATAGAGTCCACCACCCCCTCAATGACAGAGAAATGTGTAACTCCTGTCTCCCAGAAGAATAGAACACCCTTGAAAACACCTCAGAAGTTCAGTGCTGGTGAGGTAGTCCAGCAAATTCTTTTACAGCCACTGCCTGAAAAGAAAACTCCTAAATCCCCAAAAGGAAGGAGAAGTGGTGGATCACAGGATCAGAGCCTTGTTCATCAAATGCCTTCAGTCCAGCCTCAGACTCCAGGCCCAAAGGATAACAACACTGAAGTGAAGATGTCACCTAGAACATCCCCAAGAGCAAATGCTGGCAAAAGGTTTCAATTCCAAAATGTTCTGCCTGAAGTTACAGCTACCACATCAGCTTCTAAGAAGGAAGGTGAGATGGCTTGTTTTTCTTCTTATAAATAGAACTATTAGTAACACATTATAAATGTCTGCATGCCATATGCACCATTTGTCATTTAGGAAAATGCTGCAAATGTGTGTGGCTATTTAAGTCATATTCATCATACTTTTGTTTTGTCCTACAGATGACACTTCAGTAAATGAGCTATTTGATGGTAATGAATCTCGCAATGAAGTAACCGTTCCAAAAGTAAAGAAAAAGCGAGTGTCCTTTGGTGGTCAGTTGAGTCCAGAGCTATTTGACAAATGCCTGCCCCCCAATTCCCCCCTTCGCCGTGGGGCAACCCCACGACACAGTTTGGGTCCTTCCCAAAAACCCCAATCTCTCTTACAACGAGCATCCACCATTGGTCTTTTGGTAATGCTTAAATCCAGCTTTTTGAGGACTATTAAATCTTTGAAACTTCTGAAGGTTTTTAATAGTTTATTTTTTTCTCTTCCCTTTTTTTTAGGCTCTTCGACTTAAAGAAACCGTTTCAGAGGCTCAAAAAAGTTCTCCAAAGAAAGCTTCACCCAAATGGACACCATCTCTAGTGAAGACTCCATCACCTGCCAAAAGGTCACTGGGTACCAAGGCTACAACTCCATCACCTGCCAAAAGGTCACCGGGTACCAAGGCTACAACTCCATCACCTGCCAAAAGGTCACCGGGTACCAAGGCTACAACTCCATCACCTGCCAAAAGGTCACCGGGTACCAAGACTACAACTCCATCATCTGCCAAAAGGACACCGAGTGCCAAGGATAAAAATCCATCACCAAAACCTCAAAAGTCACCAACTGCTTCAACCAAAGCACCAACACCATCCTCTACTCCTGCTACACCCAGGACACCTGCATCTGCTAAGAGAGCATCAGCTTCAGCGATTGAGGCTGTGGGTGACATGTCTTTAACCGAGACACCTCTGGCGCAGGGAAGGTTTTCAGTCTCTCGTATAAATACTCCATCACCTGTCCAGGACCAGGGGACCATGTCTGAACCACAGTCAGCCATTGCAGAAGACATGCCCCAGAAGTGTGTAACACCAAAGATACACTTAAGGAGGAAGAGCATGAAGTCTTCTGCAAGAAAAACTCCCAAAAGTGCAATTAAAAGTGTTCTTGATGTCATTCGTTCAAGACGCAGTGGAGCATCACGGGCTAATCTAAAAGGTGAAACATTTAAACTGGTTATATTCATGTTTTCCTGTTTAGAATACTAAATCTCTCATTGTTGTAAATATCTTTAAAAAAAAATTTGTTGTTCCTTTGTTTTAAGTGTTGACCTCTTGGGCTGATATTGTGAAGTTTGGTCAGACCCAACCTCAAACAGAAGTTACAACTAAGAAAAAACCTACAAAGAGCAGTATAGTGAAGAGAACTGTAGTGATAAAGCCCAAGGTAAAATACAGATCATCAGCCTCAAATAAATGTTTTTGTTCTGATTCATTGTTCAAATATCTGTTAATGGTTTTATTCATTGAATGGCTCATTAATTTGTGGCTTTAATACAAACTGCATTTGACTGTTGGTTACCTATGCAGACACCTGCACAGAGGCTGAAAGATGATGTTAGCACTGGGCATGCAGCATCTCCAGTCACCATTGTTGTTGGCAAAGCCCATATGAGGACTAACCAGTCTGTTGCTGCTGCACCTAAAATAGTGCCAAACATAGCACTATTCAAGAAGGACATGAAAATGGATGAGGACTTGACAGGTTTGTTCAATGTTGAAGAGAACAATATATGTAATACGTTTGATTAAATTGTTAGTTCAAATTCTATATGTTGTATGTGTATTGTTAGGTGTTGCAGAGATTTTCAAAACACCAGCCAACACCAGGTCTAAGAATAGAGTTCTTTTGAATAATGAATGTCCAGAGATTCCTCTGGATGAGGTTTCAGTGATGAAAACACCAGAGGAATCAGGTAAGTGTTTCAGACTTGCGCCATAAATTATCTATTGTGTATTGTTTTGATATAACTGATTTCATGCTCTTGTTTTTCTCTTCCTACACAGGTGAAATGTTGGTGTCGCCATTAAGTGTGGTCTCCACTGCCAAATCTGGTCGCTACAACAATGAAGCAGTAACACGACTACTACTGGACAACCAGGATGGTACTTTGTTGGAAGTTTCTCAACTCCCTGACAACTCTATTGAGACAAGTTGCCATGACATCATTCCAGATGTAGAGATACCTTCTAATGTCCAAACAGAGAAAGCGGCTGCTGCACCTGAAACAGTAGTCAAAACCCCAAAACAGAAAGCTGCACCATCCTTGTGCCTCACTGGAGTCAAGCGACTCATGAAGACACCCAAACAGAAGGCTGAACCAATTGAGGACTTAAGAGGAAAGCTGCTCAAGACCCCCAAGGAATGTAAACCTCCCCAGGGTGAAAGTCTAGAAGGCATTAAGGAACTCCTAAAGACTCCCAAATACAGGGGAGCTCCAGTAGAAGACATGGTTGGAGTGAAAAGAGTGATGCAGACTCCAAAAGAGAAGAGCAATCCTGTACTCTGCGCATCTGGTCTTCAGAGGCTTATGAGAACACCCAAAGAAAAGGCTGAGCAACACGAAGACCTCACTGGTGTGAAAGAACGGATGAAAACACCGGAAATAAAGGAAGACATAGTGGAGAATCAATTACGGCTGAAAAGATTGGCGAAGACACCTAAACAGAAGAGAAATCAAGTTGAAGAGAATCTAACTGGTGTTCAGCAACTGATGAAGACCCCTAAACACAAAGGAGAACCAGTTGAAGATCAAATGGGTATACAAAGGCTAATGCAGACTCCCAGAGAGAAAGTTGAACCTGTAGAAGACGTCTCTGGTTTGAATCAGTTAATGCAGACTCCCAAGTTAAAAGGAGAACCTGTCAGCAGGCAGTTTGAAATCAGTGAACTGATGAAGACCCCTCGACTTAAAGAAGAAATGGCAGAGGAGTCCACTGGCCTTAAAGAACTCGAACCAGAGAACAGCTCTTCCCTGACAACAGAAAGTAGTGTGAATGAGCCTACCGAGGTAAATGGCAAAGTTAACCCATTAAACACTCACACCATGCTTACCCAGGCATTTGGCTGTCAATGGGAGATTTGTCACACTGCTTGCTTGCATTGTAGATATGTAAACCTTTGGATAGATGCTTTACACTAAATATTCCGTAATGGTTCAGTTAATTTAAGTGAGTGAAGTGACATGTGGCCAAGTATGGTGACCCATACTTGGAATTAGTGCTCTGCATTTAACCCATCCAAAGTGCACACACACAGCAGTGAACACGCACACCGTGAACACACACCCGGAGCAGTGGGCAGCCATTTTTGCTGCGGCGCCCGGGGAGCAGTTGGGGGTTTGGTGCCTTGCTCAAGGGCACCTCAGTCGTGGTATTGAAGGTGGGAGAGAGCGCTGTACATTCACTCCCCCCACCTACAATCCCTGCCGGTATGAGACTCGAACCCACAAACTTTTGGGTTACGAGTCCGACTCTCTAACCATTAGGCCACGACTTCCCCATTCTTTGTTTTAAAAAAAGTAGTCTAGAATTGTTTTTATTTCCTTCACATATAATTAATTAAGCCTTGTATATTTAATTTTTAGATACAAGAACCGGTGGAAAGTGGCTCTGCATTCATGCCAGCTGAAGGAGAGTTAAAACTGGGTAATGCACATTTGTTCTCATTGTAATCTATTTTGTTGTTCTCAGTCCTAAAATTTGGGAAATTAGGTGAAATGACAAACAAATAAGAGAAATGACAGTTAACTATTTGGATTACTGAACTCATGAAGTTGTCTTGACTTGTAGGTTTGGATATGGAATGCGACAAAGAAAATGTCTATCAGGTTGAAACCATGGAGACTGAAGTTTTAAAATCTGTGGATTTCCAGTGCACAGCTAAAGCAGTTGAATCTAATCAGATTCATCCAGAGATTGAGACTGTAATTCCCCAGGAAAGACATCCTGACCAGATTGAAGAGGAGACTGTTTCAGTTGATGCTACTGATGTCTGTTCTTCTGGGGCAGATAAGAAAACCCAAGAGCAGTCTGAAGAAACTGCATGCGTATCTGGTAATACCAACGCAACAGTTGAAGCTACCACAACTTCATCCACTGCTGAGCAAGAGGAGCTAATCAAGTCTCCACCTGCCAGCAAAATTCAGCGTGGCACTAGAGGAAGAGCAGCACAGAAATCCAAAAATGGTAACAATGAAATGGCCAAAGCACCTGCTGTGTTGGCATTAATTGAAGAGGAAAATATGAGTAGTCCACTTCCCGCTACTAGGGGAAGGAGAGGCAAGAAACTTCTTGAAGTTCCAGAAATCACTGCCAGCCCAGTTAGAAAATCAGCCCGTGGTAGAGTTCCCAAGCACAGCTTTGTGGAAGAAGAGGCAAAGAATACTGAGGCTTCACAAGTGCCTGTAAAGTCCAGGAATACTGAGATGCCAGACTGCCTGCCTTTCGTTACCAAAACCAGGAAAGGAAGAAAAACTAAGCAAGATGGTGCTGATGCTGCAGTTGCGTCCACTCATGATGCAAGTGCTGTTGACCCACAGTGTCCAGATGCAAATGAAGAGCAGGTCCAAGCCCCTCTTGTGAAACCTGGGAGGAGAAAGAAGCTGGATAAAACCGAAAGACAACCTTCAGAAGAACTTGAACAGAAAACAACTGAAATTGTTTGTGAGGAAAATGCTGTTGCACAAGAGGATGTCAAGTTGCAGACTTCACTAGGTACTGAGACTATCTCTGCAACTAGAGCTAGGAGGGGAAGGCCAGCAAAGAAGGAATACTTGAAAACCGAGCCAACCCCTGCTTTGGAAAGCGAAATTAAAAGCACTCATGCTGTTGTAGTGGCTGAGAAGCCAGTGATACCTGTAGCAAAGTCAGTGCGAGGAAGGAAAGGTAAAAAAGAAACTGTCAAGGACCAACCCTTGGATGATGATGATGTCATGGCTGTTTCCAAAACTGTGGCAGAGGCCAATGTTGACCATAAAGAGGAGCCTGAAACTCCTGTGGTCAAGTCTGGTAGAGGACGAAAAACCAAACGGCAGAAACCACAAATGGCTGAAGAGGTTGTTAACCAGCCTGCTGTAGATACCAGCACACATTTACCTGTGACTGAAGAACACACTGAAACAGTGGTAAAATCTGTGAGAGGGAATAGGAAGACAAAGCAGTCAAAGGAGACCGTTTCAGTTGAGGCTGAGGAGAACGTTGTCAGCCCGGTTGAACAAGCAGAGACCCCTGTTGTGAAATCGGGTCGAAAAAGGGCTGTTAATGCAAAGGAAACTGAAATAGTGGCAGACGTTTCTGTCAAAAGAGGTCGCCGTGCTGTTGCAGACCCTGCACCACCAGTTGCTGTGGTGTCTAGCCGTGCACGTAAAGCAGTTGTCAAGGTAGAGTCTGAGGTTACTGAGGATGTAGCTTCATCAGAAGAGCCAGTTAAGCCTGTTAAACATACCAGGAGAACAGCAAAAGCACCTGAATCAAAGAAACAAGAAAATACCATGATACAGGCCGGTTCTGAGTTTGTTGCTGCTGAGAAAACACCAGGTGTTGCACTGGAGAAAGTGGAAAGAGGAAGCCGTGGCAAAAAACTGAAGGATTCAACTAAAAACATCCCTAACAACCCAATCAATGAATCTGCTACAGCTGAGGAAGCTAGTAAAATAAAACCCTCAAGAACAGTTAACTGGAACCCAGATTTGGTCGTCTGTAAAGACATTGAAGAGTCTGAAACTTCTACAGATGTAAAAGAGCCACAGCTGAAGAAATCCAAAAGGTTGGGCAAATTACCAGCTGAGATGACCTCCACAGAATCAAATCAATCAACTGATCTGCAATCCAGAGGCCGCAGAGGGAGAGGAGCGAAAAAAGAAGAAATTCCCATTGAAGAGACTCAAGAAGAAGCTCAGATAAACGTCAAGCCATTGAGAAGAGGAAAGGCAGTGGCTCCTTCTGCGCCCAAATCAGAGCCCACTGATAGTAAGACATCAACTCCCCTCAAAAGAAAAAGGAATGAGGTGATTGAGGTAACGGATGAGTCCGTAAATAATCACCCTTTGCCGAAGAGAAGAGGCAGAGTAGTTGAAGTTGCAGCAGAGGTCTCCAGCAAAGAGAAAACGCCTGAAGCTGAACCAGAAAAGGCTGAGCCTACTCCCAAGAAGACTGGAAATAAAGCTACAAGAGGACAGAAAAGGACAGCCCAGGAACCAGATCCAGCACCTGCTAAGTCTGTTTCAGGTAAGCATAATATAAATACTGTCCTCAGTGTTTTCCAGAAGGGTTCAAGAACTTTACATTGGGGTTTAGTATGAAGAAGTGTGTTCAATAAACCTAATTGTGCATCTTGGGACTATATATATTAAAAAAAGCTTGTGTAGAATTGTGGATTAGGTTCTTTTCAAATATAGCCATATTTTTCAATGAATGTATGATTTTGAGATCCATCTTTTCACACTGAGGACAACTGAGGGATTTATTCAACTATTACAGAAGGTTCAAATGCTCCAGAAGGAAACAATGCATTAAGGGGCTTTCTCTGACAGTGGGGCATGTTAACCCATCCTGTTTCAACATCATTGTTAAAGGGGTCATATGATGCTGCTAAAAAGAACATTATTTGGTGTAATGAAATGTGTTTATGCGGTTTAAAGTTGAAAAAACACATTATTTTCCACATACTGTACATTATTGTTTCTCCTCTATGCCCCGCCTTTTTGAAACGCTTCGATTTTTACAAAACTCATCGGTCTGAAAAAGTGAGGTGTGCTGTGATTGGCCAGCTATCCAATGCGTTATGATTGGCCGAATACCTCAAGCGTGAGACGGAAATGTTACGCCCCTCACATACTGTTAATGCCGTGTCTGGCTGGAGCGACGAGATCAAAACATTAAAACCCATTACAAACGAGGCATTTGTTGCATCCAGTGGGGACCTAATTACTGATTATAATGACTTATACTGTCTTTTTACGCGTTGCATTGCATCGCGCCGCGTAAACATAAAACTCTGTCTGCATTTGTGATCGGAGAAATGACAAACAGCAAGCGCTACTCTACACTGCCCAAAACTCGCGTAGTGGCAAATCCTTTAAATGAAAACGTACTTACGTGAGTCAGAACTGCCGGCATTTTAGTCTAACGTTACTCTCCCAGGATCAGGAAACAGTCCTCCATAAAATGTGCTGCACACATCTGGATATTTGAGTTAAACTGTTCTGGAACAGTGTTGTAAATACAACTTAACCACTGATTTGTAGTCGTGTCCTCTTTTGGAAGACCAAACAAAGTAGTTTCGCTTTCACAACGAAAAACACAGCGGCCTAGCATGAGGGGAAGGCCCGGCTTAGCATACGCTGAGGCTGGGATAGAGTGAGCTGAGGCGGTGGGGTTGAGAACGGCGCGCCCGGTGGATGTGACGAATGAGCGGCAACCACATGTGACGGACCCCGGGCTGGATTCCGCTTTGTCCACGGTGAAAGTTGATGTATTCCCTCAGCGACCAGCACAGATCAGCTCTAGGCATGACGAAGCGGATATAGTCCTCATTTGGAAGACCAAACAAAGTAGTTTCGCTTTCACAACGAAGCACACAGCGTCTTCAGGACATGGCGGCAGCGTCAACAATACTACAGCGAGAATAAAAGTTACGCCTTCTTTCTTTGCGTGAACATTTGGGCGGCGTTATGCAAATCTTCCCACACAGTGATGTAGACACGTGGGGGCGTGTTAGAACGAGCCGTTTTAGGTAGGTGTGGCTGAATCTGAACTTTTATAAAGAATATCTCTTTGGATTTGAGACTTTAGTCTTTGCAACTTTACAGATCTTCTTTATGCCCCAAGAGCTTGTAACACTCCAAAGAGAAAGGAAAAATTGAAATAGCATCATATGACCCCTTTAATCCATGCCACTATTGCTGTGAGCTGAGCAGCCCAGTAATAATTTAATTAGGGAGGAGCAAACCTCCCTTATCTTTTCCTAAAGTTAATGTTTTTAATTTTATTCTAGGTCGCCTGTTCTTCCAAAGTCATTTTGATACGAGTTTATTTAACATCTCAGTCCTCAATCCTGCCAACTAGTGAAAGTAGCAACACTTCCCACCTTAATAGATCCTTTTTAATAATGTTGATTAATTTGGCTGATACAACTGTGAACGTCTAGGTGTAATGGTAACTCCTAAATATTTGAATCCCTGTTTAGACCGTCTTAAGAGATGCTCTGTCATTTAGTTCTGCTGGCCAGACTCCTGTGATCATAAGTGCTCGTGTAATAATGTTTTAGTTTTTTCCTGTAATGTAACATTTTATGTATTCACACAGGAACTACCACTCGAAAAGCAAGGAGTGTGAAAAAAGTCGAGGAAGTAGATGTCCCTACAGAGGCAGCTCCTGTCAGGCGCACCAGGAGGAAGTAAAGCACTGATCTTACAGAGTGGTCTTAATTATCTATTCTCTGTTATCTCTGAAAAAAGTTTTAGTTTTATATGTTTGTAATATTGCATTGTTTTTTTTCTATATGTTTTTCAGTGTAATTTTAGCTGATTTTATCTTCGGGAAAACGGTGTACACTTATCAAATGTGTTTTTTATGATCTCTTAAACTCCGATGAAAGGGGCATTGAAACATAGGCAGGCTTGTTTTTACTTCAAGAAAATGTTTAAAGACTTTCTGCATTTGAACTGTTAACTTCCGTCAAATACATTTATCTTCTTTATTCCTTTTGTATTTTTTTTTTTTTTTAAGAATAAAATAAGTGAGGGGTGCAAAACCAGGTTTGATCTGTCACGATTCTTAAGCCCAAGAGTGTGTTATTGTGCTGTAGTGGTAAGTGTACATGTGACAACGTTTTCATTAAAAAGATTTCTCACCTCATGTTTGATTGCTTTTTTTTAATATATATATAAATCTGTGCCACTTGAAGATGTTGAGATCTTTCGATGTATAGGTTGTAATGCAATGTCAATGAAGGTGTGCCAGAAAACAGCCAGTAGGTCAATAGTACCCTACTTCATGTGTGGGGGGCAAAGCACCTGCAATGGAACACGAAAAACTGTTAATGGTGTATATCCACTACATTCACAGCTGTTAAAGTACCATGGTATGTTGTATAAAATGCTAATAACTTGAACACCAGAATAATACGATATGTACCACAACATAAATGATGTCAAATCATGTTTTACATTGTGCTTGGTGTTATGGTGTTGATGTACAAATCTGAACAGGACGGGTAAAATTAAGATGGCCCAAGCAGTTTTTTGTCTTTTCTGCTCTGGACAGTAGAGCAAACCTGTGGCAACAAAGGAGATCTACCAAAACACAAAGCTGTCAATGTAAAATAAGTTTAGTAATTATACATCCTCTTCCTCATATTAATAATCATATTGATAAACAATGAAAAATCCTGTGGTAGCACCATAGTGCTGAATGATTGCTGTTATAAATGAGCGCAGTGGTGTTTGCATGGCACTTCAAGGTGCTACAAAGGTATTGTGGTATAAAGAGTAAGATGCCCCTTCCACCTTTAATTTTTCTCTTGATTATGTGCCACTGAATGTAATATAAACAGCTTTATTGATTGGCTATACTCTTATTAATCCTTGTCATCTAAATAATTTTTCCGAGACTTGTTCTGTCTGACCACTTTTGAGGTTAAATTATCTTTTATAGTCATTGGATAATCAGTAGATTTTTTTTTTTTGTAATCTGTGCATTTATGTTATGTTTAATAATGATAGGTATTGTGGACACAGTAATTCATTTAGATATGTATGGTTAAGAATGTGTGTTACATTTTAAAGTGAAACCACTGGGTTAGGTGCAAAATTGACACAAAGTCCCAAAAGTATGTTTATTGTATAATTGAATAGCTATTATAATTCATGACGTTATTTAATAATTCAATCGTTTAAAAAAAATCAATCTTTTTTTTATTTTTTTTACAAAGCTTTCAGTGCACAGCGCAGTCTCCGCCTCACCAGCAGGTGGCAGTACGGCGCTCAGCCGCTCTAACGGAGGCGGTGAAGTAATCAGAGTGATCCGTTGAGCGGTGTTCGCGGAAATATTTGAAATTCAACCGAAGCATCGACGGAAGAATAATAGTATAGATAAGTTCATATATATTGTAGTATACCTTATACCTAAGTATACCTGATACATCTGGTATGCTGATATACATTTCTGGAGTATAGTTCTTATAAACCGAGAATCGTCCTCCCGCTGAAGTTTAACGTTATATCGGAGGTATTGTTCGGTGCACAGTTCTCATTTTGTTACTAGCATAAGTAATTAATTTGTTATTCAGTTAACACCATTCATTTCGTAACATGTGTTTATTTCTCGAGAGTTTTAGATATTCGTTGGCGTTTATTTGTGTGCGTGTGTGTTTAAGGCTTATTTCCCTCACGCGTAAACAAGCTACACATTTATATTGCTAACATATTAGGCACATGACACAATTACAGTATAGTTTTGCATAGATAAATTCGAAGTATTGAGTGAGTCTGTCTACTTTTGTTTTTACACATTCATGCTATAATAGACACTAGTTAAAGCTCTCTTGAATCATGAATGTTATCAACATATTAATGTACTAATGTGAATTTTCTCTGTCCTACATATGAAGGGGGTGTTTATAAAGGTGAAAATGAGTCGGCGACCCAGCAGCAGATATTCTGAGATGCCCATGCGTGTGACAGACAGCAGGATGAGCCTGATCAGTGCCACCCCTCAGAAGTACAACCTTCTTCTTTGCCATTTTTGAGTACACATTGATGTGGTTTTGTTGGCCTAAACTGCTTTCAGCAGGTTAAATGAGTTATGTTACAATATATATGACGTATATCAACTTTAATTTCTTTACAGTAAGGACAATGTCTTTGGCAAACTGAACATACCGAAACCCCATTCTACCACATCTGAGAGGCGAACAAGCTTTTTTGGAAAGTGAGTCTGGCAGTAAATGTTGCATTATCATGGTCTTGATTTGACATTGTGCATTGCAATCCTTAATCATGTTATACAGAGTTTTATTAAAGGGGTCATATGATGCGATTTCAATTTTTCCTTTCTCTTTGAAGTGTTACAAGCTCTTGGTGCATAAAGAAGATCTGTAAAGTTGCAAAGACTAAAGTCTCAAATCCAAAGAGATATTCTTTATAAAAGTTAAGAGT